TAACAGTCTAATATTAGTCCAGCTCCATATGAAGCACTTTATGGCAGACCTTGTAGATCTCCTATATGTTGCGAAGATATCAGAGATAGAAAATTAATTGGACCTGAACTAGTCGAAGAAACTACATCAAAAATTATCCTAATTAAGAAAAATCTTTAAATTGCCCAAAGTAGACAGAAGAGTTATGCAAACAATCGTAGAAGGGGCTCGAGCAATTATAAAGACCCGAAACTTAAAAGAAAATAAAGTCATGAATTAAATACGGAAGCGAAACAATAAAGCTTAGAGTTTACATTCCTTACACAATAATTTAAAATTTCCAATAGGGATACGGGAATGAACTTTCTAAAAAAAAAACAAAATTAAGGAAATAAATAAAAAGCAATATGCTGAGTATTCTAGCACGACCTTCACTAGCTTTTGAAGGGAGTCCAAGTGGTGAATTATTCATAACCCTCTTATTGATCGGGATCTGGGTGTTGATTCTCTTGATCTGAAATAGTTAATGAAATGGTGAGCTATACTAGCTCAGTAAAAATATCACACTGCTCACCGATACATAAACTAAAAGTTCGTAAAAATCATAAAAACAACCAATAAAGCTCTTGATTTAAGTAAATTCATTTATCATAATGAAAATAATTTATTGCATATACTTATCGTTGTGAGATTTTCAAAATCGACCTATAGAAACAATAACTTAAATAACATTCCAATCTTATATTTAAGTTAGCAAGAACAATAACTTTCCTTTTTTATTTGCCTACTGGTATCTTGAAGGCCCATAGGGATGTCCTACTACGCGTGAACTAATAGTCAACATTGTCAACTACCTGTCCGGTACGAACGCTAAAAATATCATCTCTCAATACTATATCCGGTATGAGGATGAAACGGGTCGTTCCCATATCTCGTCCGGTATGAGCGCCAAAAATACCAATTCTCGATATCCCATCAAGTATGACACAACGTTCATGGTAGGGGTTCCTTATGTATCTGGTCTGTCCACCATCTCTCAGAATATCCAGTAAAGCTACCATTCATTAATTCACGTTACCGATTAATTTTTTATTTGTATATTAATTACCAATTTTACAAATCAATCATAAATCACGCAAGACAAGCAATATATATCAAAAAAGTACAATTGAATCAATTAATCATTTCAGTATATCATTGTGTATTTAAAACTATAAATTCAACTATCAGTTAAACATAACAACAAATAAATGACTAACCGATTTTTGGCCCTATTGGTAACCTATAATTATTCTCAAAGTCTTCTAAATTACACAAAATAGCATATTATCAATTACTAAACTTTAATTCTATAACAGAGAATAAGGCGATGAATTCTTACTCGAATCAGTGTCTAAAATACCAAACTTTCAGCTGCGCCTACTGGTGGTCCCTGAGTTTCTTGAATTTTTCTGCAGAGATTAAAACACGCTTCACGTACCTTAAAATACCCCAAAAAATCCAAAATCAATGTTAAAAACATTTCTCAGCCAATTTTAAAATTCTGGCACGGCGGCACCGCCGCCCGCAGTGGCGGTTTGCCTCAGCCTGGCCGTTTTTAGCCAATTTTGATCGGTTTCGACCGATTTTATACCCATCACTGCGAAAAAAATATGTTAAGGGGCCTCAGTTGGTCGAAAAAAATCAAAAAACAAATTGAACCCATTAGACCATTCAAAATACTATAGAGAATTAAAACTACTGCTTACCAATTAGCATTGCCACCAGAGTTGGCTAACGTCAATTATGTATTTCATGTATCCATGTTATGTAAATATCATCCTGATCTGTCGCATGTAATTCAACATGAAGATATTCCTATTGAAAAAGATGTCCTATTAAGAGATACCCCTAGACATATTGGATAAGCAAGAGCGAGTATTGATGAACAAGACTTTTTCAATGGTCAACGTACTCTGGCAACATCATTCACCAGCGGAAGCTACTTGGGAGATTGAGGACTCGATACGAGCTCAATATCCTCACTTGCTTTAGAGATATAGCAAATTTGGAGGACTAAATTTTTGTAAAGAGGGAAGAATTGTAACATTCAGTCTAAATCAATAAAATAAATGTAAATAAATAAAATAAGAATTAGGATTTAAATGAAGGAAATTTTAAATTTTTGGGAGTTTTATTTAATTTTAAGAATTTAAATGAAAACAAGTAAGAAAAGGGGGGGTAATAATGTAAATAAGCGGAAGTGAAAGGGGGCAAAAACAAATCAGGGAATAGACAGTCCTGATCGAACCATCTGAGAAGATCAAACAGTTAAAGTTTTACTGAAGATAAACGACTCAGATTGAGCTTGTGAGATCCAATGGCTGGCAAGGACGGGTATAAAAGGAAAAAATTTATGATTTTTCTTCATTTGAGAGAGAAGTCGAAAAAGAGAGAAAGGAGGTGCGAGAGAAGATAAGAGGTGAGAGAGCGGTGGAGCCGAGAGGAAGAGAGAAATAGAGGAAAGGAAGAGGGTGGCTGGAGAAAAAGGGAGAGGATAAGAAGAGTAGCTAAGCGGGAGAGTGAAAGGGGAGCCAAGAATGGCCACCGCAAGGGAAGAAAATAAGAAAAGAGAGTGGTGGAAGCCGAAGCTGAAAAGAAGAAGAAGGAAAAGAAATCGAGCAGAGACGTCGTGTAACGGTAGAGACTGAGGCAAGTAAGGTAAAAAGTTTTATCTTTTTCATCTTTCTTCCCCTATTTTCCTTCAATCTTTTCCTATTTTACACTAACCGATTTTTAGGCATGAAATTTGTCATCTAAATCTAAAGCAAGCAAAGAAAGTCACGGGGTAACCGAGAGAAATCATTCAGAGTCAAAATCAAGGTCGAATCGCACCACGCCGAGAAGGTAATCTTTTTTTCTATGTTTGGTTGGTTGTTGAACGACGAGAGGCGGGCAGTCGGTGTCGGGCTGGTCGCGCGAACTCGGCTTCGTAACCCACTCGCTTGGGAACTGAGGAGCCTTCCTCAGGTGTGGGGAAACCGACCCACTAGTGGAAGCCGAGGGGTCTTCCTTAGGAATAGAAACCTGATTCACCCATTCGGGAAGCTAAAGAGTCTTCCTCGGGTATGAAAATCCGATTCACCACACAAAAAATCGAAGAGTCTTCCTCAAGTACGGAACCCGATATTTCTGGGTTAGGAAACCGAAATCTAAGGGAAGTGAATTGCTCACCCTTATGCGGTGAGCCAGGCATCCCATTGGGTTGTCATTGAAACCAGTTATTATGATTGAATTAGCTTATGTTTAGTATTTAAATTACAGTAATTAATTTGTGTCATGCGTGTACAGGAAATTAGGACGTTCAGGCAGATCTGGGAAGACTATTGCGTAAAGGAGTTGTAAGTATTTCTGATTCTGAACCTATATTAGGATTTTGGAATTATGCATGTATTTTATTAATTTTGTATGTATTTATAAAATTAGAACGGATACTGACTCAATTTTTGATGAAGAACAAAACCCGAACTTATGACAAGTGAACCCTAAGCTATTGAAATTTATGAGGAGATGGAACTAGAAAACAAACTCAAGACTAAAGAATAATTGAAGTGTGATAAGAAATAAATTAAAATAAAAAAATCACCAATAAAACAAAAATTCGAGAAAAAGAGAAAATAAAATACTGCAAGGAAATAGATAAAATTGAAGGAATAATTATGGTTGTGAAATGATCAATTTAAATAAAAATTAAGAGGAAATTATAAGGAAAGGGAAGTAAATAAGAATTTAGAAATGAGATAATGTGAGTGAATAGGGTACGGACCCTGAACATCTTCGAGTTGATGAGGAGAGAGAGAGTGTGTGTGTGTGTGGTTGGAGTTCAGCGGGCATAGTGAACCTACACATGGATAGAGTTTGAAATCTAATGCAGACGTGGATAGGTGTTTGTGACTATGAGTCACCTAGCAAATGTAACTGTTGTGACCATTGTGAAATTATATGTATGTGTGTTATCCATACGATGGGGGAATCCATTTTGCCTCTCATCGATGACGACATAAATAGCATCACGCAATTAACCTTAAAAATAAGATTTCAAGTGTATATATGATCTTTCGTGTGTATGTGGTTTTATTTTGAGATTATAATTGATATTCGAGTGTATATATGTTCTTTCGAGAGTATGTGGATATACTTCGAGGATTGTAAATGATATTCGAGTAAAATTCAGAAATCCGATCCAAAACATATGAAAATAGTGAAAATAATAAATAAAATTTTGCATTAAAAATATTCCTATTGTATTTGTCTCATATTTTGTATTTTGCATTAAATCTTATCTGGGTTGAAAGAACGGAAATACTTATTGAATTGGTGAAACTCATTAAATTTCACTCTGATATTTTTTAAATGAGAAAGAATAGGAAGAACCGCTACCAGACAAGCAGAACCTGTAAAAGAGTTCATGTGCATGTATATTTTGTTTTATTTTATTGAACTCTAAATTTTGACTTCATATTCTATATATATAATTACCATATTTATTACATGGGATGTTAGGTTATATGATAAATTTTGAATTATGCATATATATATATATTATGAACTTATTGTATGAATGATGTGCAGTATATGCGGAATTTCTAAGTGGTTGTAAAATGACAATGACGATTCTCGTGTTTATAATATTGAGACAAACAAAATCCTTAATTAATTATAACTAATAATTAGGAGAAAGTTACACAAGTAAAGAATAACCATGTATATGGTCAAATTAATCATACGTAAGTTCGCTACTTTGTATTTTCTATGCACGAGATTGTAGATTATGCAGTGAACGTGGTCCTATTTTCCGTCAGTAGGTAATATAATAAAAGCGAAGTCATCGATTAATTGAATAAAAAATAGTAATACGTATACCAGATGATGATGAGCAAGTAATTCACGCACCCATATGGGCGGCTTCATGGGTTATATATCTAGCCATCAAAAAACTAATAAATAATTCACAACATATTGCTATTATACATATATAAATAGACACCTAACCAATAACATTAACCACACAACAAAGAAACAAACAATGGCGATCATGTATGTTCCACTAGTTGTAGCCTTGTTAGCCACGATTAACATCTGCCATGCCCAAAACTCACCACAAGATTTCCTCAACGCCCACAACGCGGCTCGTGCCAGGGACGGTGTTGGACCCATGAGATGGGACAACAAAGTGGCGGCTTTTGCTCAAAACTACGTCAACCAACTCAAATCAACCTGCAGGCTCGTGCATTCCAGCGGTCCCTACGGCGAGAACCTGGCGTGGGGCAGCCCTGATCTCGCCGGCACGGCTGCTGTAAAGATGTGGGTGGATGAGAAACCTTTCTACGATTATAATTCAAACACTTGTGCTCCTGGCAAGGTTTGTGGCCACTACACTCAAGTGGTGTGGCGTAACTCCGTTCGTCTTGGGTGCGCTAGGGCTAGGTGCAACAATGGCGGAACTATCATCAGCTGCAACTATGATCCTCCTGGTAATTTTAATGGTCAACGTCCTTTTGGTTTCTTGGACTTGAGTAATTTGAAGAGTGTAGTTTAAATGATTTAAGTAAATGAACCTGAATAAGTCTGAGATCTTTAAAATTTAAGATAAAGTTGTACGTGTATTATTTAATAAATCATGTGTGTGTAACGAACAACTACTATTTTTTAATGTTGTAATTTTACTAGATTCTTGACTTGTATGTTTATATACCATAAATTCAACTTTTCGGTGATGAATTATTATTAGTTTAACGGGTTAATTTTATTGCACTTTTATTATTTATAAGAGTGTAAATTTAAGTTAAATTGTGTATTTTGTGTAACTTAATTATTAAAATATATAAATTTTTATCAAAATTATTTAAATTTAACCTAACTTTTATCTCTTTGAATTATATATACATTTTTATGAAAGCATAATTAACAAAGAGGGACACAATTCCTAATTAAGTAGTAATTAATTTGCATGTGAATTAAAACCTTTTAGTAATGTTATGAAAATAGTGACAGGTATATATATATATATATGTATTAGGTTCTTGTTTTCTAAGTAAGATATATATATATATATATATATGTAGGTCTTGATTTCTTCGGGGATGCACAGATATATTTCTTTGATAGAGATGTTAGTGCATATATATACACATTCAAGAAGATTAATAAAAATGAATTTGGATTTTGATGAGATGTAATAATTGACATTTCGTCAAAAGAAAAAACTAACATGGTATATATGCTGCCAAACTTGGAATATTGCAATCAATCTTTTGTCCTATTCTGCCAAAATTAAACCTAACCTCTATATATATATATATATATATATATATATATATTTGGTCAAGTTCGTAAGGGACTTATCAACGGACTTTAACATATAGTAATAATTTTGAAGTGATTTCGTATCAATTTTCTTGTAATGGGTCTTTATACTCGACGAACCTATGGGCCGACTCCACCCGATTCGGCCCAATTTATAATCGAGTAGAGTCCACCCGACCCAAACCCGATATCATTCCCCCAGTCGGTCGGTCTTAGATCTCCGTTGTCTGTGTAAGGACGAGCAAACAAGCCCCAGGAGGAATTACAGACCGTTCACACATACCTAGAGCAATCTCACGTACGTAAGCATGGGAGAGGAAGGAGAAACCGTAGAACAACGTCGAAGCTCTCTTGCGGCACCTCTCGTCTTCCTCATCGTTCTTGTCTTCCATTTCCTCTCCAGGTGGCTCGAGCAATTGAAGAAGGTAATTTGGCCATGTTCTTGTCAAATTAATCATTCTGATTAGATGAATCGTGTTTAGAAATTACTTTCATTTGATTTGACTCTGGCTTCCTCGGCAGAGGGGATCAAAGAATGAAACGGAAATCCAGTTGCGTGCAGAGATAAAGCAACTCCTGATAGAGGCAAGCTCCTTGTCACAGTGAGTCATTTCTTGACTTGAATTTCATTTTCATTTCATCTTAATAACATGCATGCGCTACTGATTTTAGTAGGTATTATGATATCTAAAGCATCTATTTGGATATATTTATTTTTGCCAAATTATGTTGCCTGAAGTATCACCTATTCCTAATTATGGATGTTATTATTACGTTAACTTTAATAATATTGTCCGGAATATCACTTATGGAAAATTATGTTGACACAGTAGCTTCATTTGGTTTAAATTTTGAGCTCCTGAAAATGGTGGTAGCATTATAATATGGAATGACGAAAGAGATGCATTCTTTTCCCTGTTGATTCCAGGCCATCAACATTTGCACAAGCTGCAAAACTTAGGAGGATAGCAGCTGCTAAGGAGAAGGAACTTGCAAACTGTAAGTTTGTTTGCATTCACAAGTATACATTAGCCCGCACAAGATGTTTATATATATTTTAGAAGCTAATGTTTTTTTCTGGTTTATTGCACAATCTACTTGGTTGTTTTGGATTTATGGAAATGTTTGAAGAAAAATCATTGATTGACAGGTACTTTCTTATGATTGCAGAAACTATTATATCATTTATTTTTTATGTGATTGTTAGGTTCTAGAAGCTAATTTTTTGTTAAGCTTTTTTACCGTGAAAATTGCGCTGGGTACATAATGGGAGAAAGGACTATACTTATTTGCCTTCATATTTTCTTTTCTGTTTCAAAAGAAAAAGTTTAGAGAAAGAAGTTAGAAGAGAGTCTATTTCTTTGGAGAGTACTGTGAACTAATTAAAATCAGAAAGTAAAAATACAACTAACGCAGATGACAGACATGCAGCTGGTTATAGCTTTCTTTCCAATAATTTGTTTAGCATACCTTTGTAATTATTGGCTGTATTTTCTAAAAGTACAATTACCTAAACTGTGGTATGTCTGGATTGTTTTTTGTTTGAGATAAAAATATGGTATGTCCGGATTGTGGTGCAGGGTATTGGTACGAAATACTATAGATGCTAAGTGTAGGTACTACATAGGATTAGATACTAAATTTGTGCTTGAAAGACGTAGGCTTAGTCTCTACGTTATTTGGTCTCAAGTATTGGTGAACCACTTATTAGGTTCTTTATTTGGTTGTTAAATAATAGTTTAGTAATACATTCTGTTGTATTGGATCAAATACAGGATTTAAATCCTTTTTGTAGCTATAACAAGAATATCAATACTCATGTTCTAAATTCTTAAAGAACCGAGTAAATGTACTATATGTCTCTGAAGAAGATAAACAATGTATTTTTTAAGTTCCAAGAAAGAAAATTTTGTTTGATGGACTCTTACTCTTTACATGGACAAATGCCTGTTCCACTTTACCTATAATTAATCTCATTTTTGAAAGAAAAAATTGTTAAAATATAAACTTTTCAGTCTCCCTTTCCGAATCCTTTTGCTCTCCCTATATTTAGAATCCTAGTCAACCAACTTGTCTGAGTTCTTCTTAATTTGGGTTCCATGTTTGAGATCCAGACTGAACTAAAATGAATCCAAGTGAACACACACCACGAACCAGTTCAAAATTTTAGTGGGAGGGTGTTTGAGTAATGTTGGTACTATCTAAAAGTAAAAGAACCAGCAGGTATAATAGCTCATAAAAAATGAACATATCCAGAATGAAATCTGCAACCAGTGTCAAGAATCAGAGTTTAATTTTTTTGCAAGATTTTATAAGTTTGATAATATTGTTTTAGCTATATATGCATATTGATTAGAATTAAACTTCAAAATCTCTTTGCATTAAAATATGAAGGGCAATGAGAACTCTATATTACAAATGAATTGTATGCTTCAGTTCTGAATATTAAGTGGAGGGACTTTGAGGGATAAGTTTGTATAGAGAAGGTTTTGATCCATTATGAACATGAGTTTCTATCTGTTTATCAGCAATTATGAAGCCAATAACTTGTATATTTTTTTTATGCATATTGATGGAAGCTTCTAAACATTTACTGGAATTCCAGGTCAGCAAGTACATACCCAAGTAATCAAAGGGTCCTATGACTTGTCTCTGAAAATCCTGTTTATTTCAAAGGTAATCCCATTTATATTGAAAATTTTTTAGGTATAATTTGGCTTTGTTTCCTTTGGTGATATCTTGAAGCAATTTCTTCATTTGCTTGTATAGGTTGTAACATATATTGTGTTGGTTTACTGGTTTTGGAGGGCTCCTGTTGCTGCCATATCTCGGCAATTGGTGCAACCCTTTGGTAATGTACAATTGGCACCAAATCTTTCATTGTAGTTTCTTTTTTGGTTTAATTCAGAGTCTTTCATTGTTGTTAGATTTTTAATCTTTTCCTATGTTTCGGTGTGTGGCCATACAATAATGTGTCAAGATGTGCCGAAATCCTGCAATTATTTTTGCATGCTGTGGTGTCTGGTTTTACAAATAAGCACAACGATTATGTGTAAGATAAAATAGGGAAGAGAGTTACTGTAATTTCATTGTTCAATAATGCAATATATGTTTCTTTTCTGCAGGGCACGTGTTATCTTGGGGAGCTGGAGGTTCGCTGAACGACTATGTCATGGTAAACACAATTGAAACACTTTTTTTTAGTTTCATGCTCTAATGAGATGGAGTTATTTAGTTATTCTTGTAGTATGCCTCTTATAAAGAAGCAGCTTAAAAAGGTGATCCACTAAGGAGTTTTCCTCTTTTCAAAGTGTAGTTATTTCGTATAACTTGCAGGTTGGGATCATACCGTGGTTGATATTGTCTACTAGAGTTAGCAAATTTTTGAGCCAACTCTGCAAATAGTAAAAGACTGCAAAAATCTGCTAATCTTCACCATGAAGAGAATTACTGACGTTGATAAGCAGGAGCAGCATTGATAGTTTTCTTCTCTTTTTCTTGATGTTTGAAAAGGGAAAAACAAGTGATTTCTTCAACCAAATCTACAAGATTCGTTTTTCTTTTGTTGTCAGTTTGTAAAATTCTTGTTAATTATTTGGGAAGAAGATGAGAATAAAATGAAGCATAAAATTATGGTGTGGCTGCGCTTTGTTATGTGGATATTGTCCGTGTTTAATTTTGTGAAGAACCTGAAATAACTATTAGAAGCACCAACAGAATTGACCACGCTATTTGAAAGTATGTAATTTTTTAAAGCTAAGAACAAAATTTGTTCTTCCATTTGTTGCTCTTTCATTTTAAAACAAAAATGCAATGCTTACCAAAAGAAAGAAAAAGTTTAATGCTGTTAAAACTACACCAGGATTAATAGCCTAGTCAAGAGGTTTAAGTTGTTGTCGTTGTAAAGTTTATGGGAAGTATTATATATTTCGCTCAGTATCTCAAATGAAGACCAGAGTTATAATTAAGCCCTTTACAATCTTGACTCTTGCAGTTGTTTAAAATTAGCAAACAACATACTGCAGAGGCACCATGCCTCCCAGGCGTAGTAGAAATAACACAATACACACAGGAAAAAAACACCACCATAAGAAAATAATTCATTTCTTGTTACGTGTCTAACATCTCACAATTTGTTAATGATACCATGGATACTCATTTTCTCCAAACATTTTTTTATTTTCAACCAAAACTGGATTTCCTAACTAACTCTTCAACTAAATCGGTTTCATGAGAGTTCGACAATCTTCGGCCGCTTTTTCGACCGTCTGTCTCCTGCAGCTTTTTTCGAGGAATCAACTTCGCCTGCCAGCACGCTTTTGCCATTCGCAGGTGAACCCCTCTCTTTACTGTTTCCACCACCATCATTATCACTGTCCTCACAGTCGTCATTATCATCACTGCTATCATCTGATTCCGTTTCACTACTGCAAGCAGGGAAAGAAATCACTGGATGAGAATCAGCTATTGCTGATTCTGCAGCAGCCACAGCCTCAGGGGTATGAAGATCAGCTACACCCAGCATCAAATCCTGTTATTGACAATGTATCCATATTAAATGGATCCCAGCAATTAGCTGTCACTATAAATGGGGACATGGTTGGTCCAAGGAAGGTTATATTACCATTTCAATGACTCCAGATTCAGTTCCAGAAAGCACTTCAATGTCATAGGCCTCAGAGTTATCCTAAATTTCAGGAGACATAGCAAATATGAAGTTATAAGCATATCGTTGAAAAGCAGACTAAGGTCTACCTTCAGGTAATATACTGTCACCCACAAACCTTTGCACCAAGTTCCAGCCTTCTATTAGCTTCCTTCATAACTCCCAAGAAATCTTTTACTCTATCAAGAACTGCAAATATTGCAGAAAATTTATTAGTTACCAACAAATATATTTTTAACATCCATCTTATACTGTTTCTTTTTGTTTTAGGCAAGAATTGGAAATCTAGTTCAGTGAGAAATGGCTAGTAATTATCATCATACATGCAACAACACAGATGAAGAGTTTTACCTTAAATCTCTTATTCACGTTTGCGTTTTTTCCACACTGCCTGTAGTGCATCTAGCATTTTCTCCAAGAATAATAATTTCTCAAATGTTTTGACCACCCAGGAAATTTAAACTAACGACATATCAGAACATTTTCTTTTCTTTCTTTTTATATAAAAAGCAGAAGATGAAACCATATTCTTTCACAACTTGCTTTCTCGTCCCCGAAAAGGAACTTATTTCATGAGAAACAAAGAAATCTCTAGAGGAAGAGGGACCTATTTCTCACAAGAGTATCAAAGAAGAGAAATAAATCCTATGCTGCCTTGAAGGCATCAGGTCTTCTTGTTAATTTTCTGACTACGAACATTAGTTATTAGTACAAAGAATTACTAACTTACTAGTCACAGTGCCTAGGAGGTGCCATAGCAACACCCACAAAAAAAAAAGGAATAGATTTCATACGAACGAATGGCAGTTCAAACTTTATAGTATCAATCACATCCTATATACACAAAGTTAAGACACAGAAACTACTTTGTCCAAATAAGTCAAACAGATCTTACATTTGCTGCGAGCAAAAAAAACAAAATGTTATTCTATAGATTCACATAGAACATGGATTCAGAGTGAGCACACTTGTTTTCATGTGCTTTCAATACTGAACCTCAGCTCAATAAATTGAACAACTACAAACCATTCCTTTGGCAAAATATACTATCATAGAAACCATTATGTTAAAAACAAAGCAACTCAACAATTGAGAACCTCCTCATGTGAATTCGATTTCTAAATTCTTTGCTCAACCCAGTAATTTCTTTTGACGAGAACTTAGTTATATGTATATATTAAGGAAACTTGATTCAAGCACTTTTCAAATAAAAAGAGGAAGGTAAACAAGGCATATACGACAATTCGAGGATTCAAATAAAGAGAGAAACAAAACTGAGATGGGTTACCTTGACTTTTGGGAACGGAAGAGATGGTTGGCCTGTTATCAGAGACTGGTTTATTGGACCGTGAAATTGAATTTTTCTTATTACAAACAAGAAGGGTTGATTCTGTACAAACAAAAACAAAGAGTGAGAGTTATAGTTCATAAATTCTATTGTTCCGAGAAATTAAAATTTGACGTACAGAGAGAAAAAAAAAAAAAAAAAAAGAGTACCAAGAGGTAAAGAGGAAGAATTCTTATGCTCTAAGTGCAGTAGATCTTTGCTTGTAGGTTCCATGGTTGCAGCTCTGCTCCTCTGCTGGAAACTAGAATGGACGCGCGTAGTGAACGGAGAAGATGAAGCCGTAAACAGATAGAAGTTAGCAAAACAACCGTTTGAAATACAAATTAATCACCGCAATTCCGATACCAATGCGGAGATTTGAAAATTAGGGCGAGTGACGGTCTCGAGTTTCAGTCCCTGCGGCGCTGCAACTCATCAGTCGAATATTAGAATTAGGGGTTAGAATACTTCTCTACTCCAGCCCCGCGCATGAATAATTTACTTTCACTCACTATTTTATATATATATATTTTTTTTTTTAATTTAAAATTTAGTCCCTATATATATCTAAATTAAATAATGGTTTTAAAATTAAATAAATCATAATATATATCATATTATATTACATATAATAACCTAAATTTTCATTTAAAGTTATATTATGTTGAGTCATAATTAATTTATATTTAAAAATATATATGCATCAAAATAAAATTATCTTGTACTTAAATACGTAGTGAATATTTTCCACTGTCTCTAATAAAGAATATGTTGGAATCAATCTTAATTTAATTGTGGATTTTCTACAATGGATATGAAATCAGTATAATTTTTTAGAATAAATTTAATTTTTTTTTTTTTTTTTTTACTTTAACTATTATGTAATAAGTTTTAATTTAAATTAAAATTTTAAGTTATTTAACACTGACAGATAAATATTATCAGTTATAAAAATAAAATTCTATAATATAAATGTAAAAAGATGTGATTAGATTTAAAACAAAAGGTGGTTACGATATTCTTTTATCTATATATATATATATATATAAAACAAGAATTACCCACTGGAATATTTATACATCCCATGCATACAAATACTGGTTAATAACTAAAAAGATTATATATATATATATATATAATAAGACAAATAATTTTCTTTAATACTTGGGAAGAGAACACTCTGTGGGTAGTTTGTCTTGGAATCTTTTATTATCTTGGCAATAATCATATATCATATGATACCTTCTAACCCATTTAAACCATCTCTTCTGTATCCTTGTAAGGCTGCTGAACCTTTCTTTATTCCACCAATTCCTATTGCTTCCTCCTCTGCAGAACCTTGGATTTCCTTCCCACACACACCCATCTATCTTGTAGTTTCTGAATGAAGCAATAAAAGGTCCCTTGGACCAATCAATTTTGTCGTGTCCACCGCGTGTCGCCCAGCTGTCTCCGTTCCATAGGCTGATCTTTATGCTCATTGGCTGCCACCTCGGATATCCAGCTCCCTTGTCCGCATGATTTCTGTATACTCTTATAGGTATCGTATCTACCATGAATCTACACGAATGTATAGTTTTCAATTAACTTACTCATATACATCAATCACAACATAATTATCTAACGACGAGACTGATTCAAACTCACAAGCTCAAATTGGGGAAAGAAAACAACAAAAGTCTAACTTGGTTGCACCAATGTAATAGTTAATTGTATATGCGTACATGTAAGATTGACTTACACAATCTGGTGAAGGTTCCAGAGTATAGAATAAGTATGGAAGTCCTTGGTTGGATCAAACCAAAGATAAATCCTTTCTTCACGGTTATCAAACCCATCGGCAAAAACATTGGTCTGAAGGATGTATGGCTGGCCACTCACATTTCCCAGGAATTCAAAGTCTATCTCATCTCGATTGGGCTGGTCTGATGTCAACTGAATTCCACATACATATATATATATATATAACATCAGTGAATATATATCCATGTTCATGTAATTTGATCAATGTGTAAAAATTAAGAAGAAAAGTTTACTATCACTTACATAATAAGCCACGACAGTTCCTGCAGAATGACCAGGAACTAGCTTAATTTGCATGTCAATCTGCCCGAATAAGAACATCTGGTTTGAAGCAAAACCAGCTCCTACAAGTTATTAATCAGATAATTAGGAAGAAACAAATGCATTGATTAACTTATATTTGATGTATATATAGATATATATAATTAATATGTAAAAATTATGAGGTATACCAGATTGTTGGTCGAGCATCAAGCTTCTTGATTTGCCGTCAGCAGAAGTATTCACATGACTAGGAGACCATGTGATGAAGAAATCCGTATTGAAATCTCCGGTGGAGACAACAGAAGCTTTTGACATATGAGATGAAATCATGACAAGGAGGCTGATGGGGAAGAACATGGATTTGAAATATCGAAAATTAATATTATTGTTCATGGTTTCTGTTAAATCTAAAAAAGACTGAAAGAGTGCATGTGATTGGGTCTTTGGTGGAAATATATATATATATATATATATATAGTTATATATATGTACTGAATAATGATGTGAATGGAATTAGTATGATTTGTTTGTTTAAGCAAGAATATCTTTAGGGGGAAGTAAAGGAATAAATAATTAATTTAGCTTCTTGCAGAAATTTATTGGTCCTTCAGAACTTTGAGAATACCCTTTAGCATTAATATATGTAACCAACTATATTATTTGGTATATATATACATGTACATATGTCATTATGTTATATGCCAAGCTTTGAGAATACCCTTCAGCAAGCTAGGCTTTTCTCAACAAGAGCCTTTCACTGCTGTCTGAGCCAGCAGAAAGTTAAGGAAAGTGATCAACTGACAAAGAACTTTCTTCTAATTGTTCATTTGTTTTTTAGAATAACTTGATCTTTCATCTAAGGAGGACTTGAGTTTATTCTTTCCCTCCTTTTGGCAGGCTTGTATATATATATATATATATATATATAATGTATATGCTTCAGTCCAACCCAAAAACAGTTTCATGGCTTGTTAATGTTTACTAATTAATAAGTTCTCTTTGTTTTTGGAGGGCCAGAATATTTATTCAGTAGTTGTTCATATACACAGCTTATATAAAGTGGGTGATTAATTAAGATAATTTCAACAAGTTAAAATAATCCATATGGTAGATTCCTTTGAAAATTTAAATTAACTTTAATTAACTTTTCCCCTCCTAACTATATATATATATATATGTATATGTATATGTATCTGATCATCATGATTAACTGTCTTTGAAAGCAAGCTTAAGAAACGTAGGATGCTTGGACAAGAAAATTTGGTCCCCAGCTTAGGTAAAAAAATGGGCATGGGTGGATATGTCTATTTAAAAAATTTACTTACCCACCAATCGCTCTGTTAATAAAATTTTTAATTTGTTACCTATCCAGCAGGTAAAATTTTCTACCACCACCCGCCTCATTTATCTTTTTTTTTTTTTTTTAATCTCTTAAAATATTTATATAAGTTAAAATTAAAAATGTAAGTTCTGGTTAAAACAAAAATGACATTTAAAATAAATTCCAAACATAATTTATTCAATAAAAATATAAAATAATATTATAATTGTAAAATATTAAATATTTATTAATCAAAATTTGATTAATTTAAGTATAATTAAAAATAAAAATAAAATTTTATTAATTATATAAAGGATAGGACAGTGCGAGGAAGTAAAGTGCAAGTACATCTTTAAATGCATACACGTTTTAAATTTATTTTAAATTTATAACCCTTTTTTTTCCATCTATTTTAAACCACATTAATTACAAATAAGGAGAATTTCTAAACTCATTTATGCGGAATAAGTAAAATTATGGTTTTCATTTATGAATTAAGGAAAAAACCAAATTGCTCTTATAGGTATTGTGATATAAGGTGACGCGATACCCGCTGACAACACACTTAAATCAGAGTAGTAGAAGAAGCAAGCAAATGTAGATGAACTTTCGGAAAACGAGAGAAAACAATTATAGAATAGTAATTCTCTAAGTTACTCTATTCACGACCAAAATATCAAATAGTGAGGTCAAATCTAACAAACAGAGCTCTTGGACTAGGAAGAAATGACACCAAAAGGTGCTAAAAACCCAAAGGATAATGGGTCTTACCGCAAAGGAACAGTTCGGTCTAAGAATCCCATCCCAAGAAAAAAGCCCAAATGTAGTTTGGGTTTGGGTACCCAAAGGGTACACGTGTTGCAATGCACATGCGGGATAGTTGACCCACATTTCCACCAGTGTTCCTCGATTCCGTAGAGAAGCAGCCAAGGCGACCTTATACCTTGCAGGAAAATCGAAGACTGGCAACTTTCTTGGCGCAAAGACCTAAAGGCCCTCACACAAGCAAGGAGGCCCCCACGTGTGTTGGATATGCAGCCTAGCCCGCATGGCCCACGAACACGCATGCATGCCCACACGGACTGCGCACACGAGCGCCTGGGAGTGCTCATGCACGCGACCCTCTAAGCTCGTACGAAACCAACCGCGCACACACATCCCATGCGGATAGGCCGACGGACGGCCCAAGCCTAACCCACGACTCTCGCGAGCCTTCTCCCACGCAACCCGCACAGACCGGTTGACCTCCTTTTTCCCTTTTTAAATTATTTAATATTTACTTATTTTATTATTTTAAAATTTTTTAAAAAGGCTTAGGACCCACTTTTCAAATTACCTATATTTTAAAATTAATTTTCACATGTGTTTAAAATGAATTTCACATGAGATAAATATGAGTTTATTTTAATTAATATTTTATTATAATTCTATCATTTAAGATTATTTAATTAATTTAATTAGAATAGAATAATTATTTTTATTTTGTAATTATCCTATATTTTTTATTTAAGTTATTATTTTATTAATCGTCTCAAGATTTTATACTCATTTAGATTGTTCGAAAAAGGTTATAAATAGACATTTGTCTCTAGGATGTAAACATAAACTTTTGAGAATAAATTTAATAAAATTCTTGAGAGCTTCGACTTTTCTTCTTTTTAGTATTTTTGCTAAAAATAGCTTCAAGTTCTTCAGGAAGCAGGAGTCTTAGAAGTCTTGTTGAGCTAAGGAACAGGGATCAGCTTGTTGATAAGTACATGGTTTTTTTTCTTTCCTTGTTTTTTTTTCCAAATCTTTGTTTTTGCTTTCCTTTTAGAATTGTAGATTCAATTAAAGGGAGGGGTTATTCTAGTGTTTATAATTTTGGTATTGCATACGATGAGTGAGTTTTAAGAGTTAATTCGATCCTCCTCAAATCCTTCCACATCATATGGTATTAGAGTTTTGGCTTCTAGAAACTTAAATCTATCTTTATTTGCTTTAATATTTTGTTTATTAACAATTCACATTAATTTTTTATTTGTTCATATTGCATCCTACTTGAATTCATATCTATCCGTTCAATTCAAGTAGTTTATATTGTTAGTCAAAAAAAATTATATACCAAAAATACCAAAAAATATTTAAATTGCACCTCATAAGGCAATTGGCACATTATTTGTATTTTGTATCACAAAAGCAGAATAACCACCTAATTGGTGAACGGAAATCCTTTGAGAAATCAAAGACAAAGTACATTGCCTAACTGATGTGAGTGAAAACTTTTATTTTCATTCCGCACACTATTTACATTTAATTTTCGAATTGCATTTATGTAATATGCATCAATGTTGCATAAAGAAACTTAACCAATCGTAGAGCGTAGTCGACAAATTTGGGTTAGTATAGGAAGATACACCTACTGATTCTATCCATCGGGATTGGTCGGATCCTTACGCATCAATATAACTTGTCATTCTTTGTGATCTATATCTCGTTCTTTATTTCACAATTATTTTGTTACATAATTATGCGACTAATGGTTATTAGTTGCTTAACGCGCAAAGAACACCATTCCTTTTTCTTTGTGCTTATTTCTAAGCTTCTATAGAAATTAGAATCCTTTAGGGCTCCCTGTTGTGTCATAAGAACTAATGTGCAAACCTGATTTAAGTGATTCTAATAACGAACACTCAACTTGATAGACGAAGTTGTCAATCGAGGGATTGCGAGGTAAACACAAGCGAATGTGAGGGAAAGATATTGTTTTTACTAACTCTTATCTTTGTTGGAACTTCGCAATATCTCACCAAAGCGCCAACAGCAAACTAGTCACCTTAGAAAAGAGAATTATGGACATGTTCGTCCAGTTAAATGTTTGATTGGGAAACATGGCCGCCTATATGGATCACCAGGAGCAAGGCAAACATCGCAATCGCACCAGACACCAAATAGTTTGTGACGAGACAAGATCGTGTGGCGACAATGTTAATGACAAACAGGGAGGCCGTTGCAAAAAGGCAGACGGAGACCTTCATGACTTCAAGTTCTAGATATAAGCCTTTCAAGGGAAGAATGACCCCGAAGTCTACCTCGAGTGGAAATAGAAGGTCGATCATATTTTCAGTTATTGCAACTGCAGTGAAGAGAAACAGCTCAAGTTAGCCACCCTTGAGTTTATCGATTATGCTTCAGTATGGTGAGATCAATTAGCTCTTCTCTAGGAACGAGATGAAGACTTACATATCACCACATGACGAAAAGTGAGATCCATCATGAGGAAGCAATTTATGCTAGCTCATTTAGACAAGAATATGAACTAAGATTGCAACACCTAACCTAAGGTTCTAAGTCGACGAAAGAATATTATAAGGAAATGGAAAAAACCACGATTAACGCCTGAGTTGACCAGCGGCCGGAGGCCACAATGGCTCGATTTTTTGAGGGTCTAACCAAGAATATCGCCAACATCCTTAAACTCCAAAACTATGTCGACTTGGACGTGATGGTGCAGAAGGCCACCAAGATTGAAAGGCAATTGAATAGTAGAGGACCTAATCAAGTTTATGCTAGTAATGTTCTCTAGGGATACCAAAGATATACTCGAAAAGATGAAAATAAGAAAGTGGACGACAGTAAGGGTAAATAACCCCCTGACAATCTAACAGTTAATTTTAAGGCACCAACCATTTGGCAAAGCACTGTTAAATGTTTCAAGTCTTTAGGATTGGGGCATATTGCATCCCAATGTCTTAATCAGCATGTCATGATTATCTGAGATGATGGAGATATCGTCAATGACCACGAAAACAATGATGAATAGGAAGATCTATCATTAGTGGATGCAGAGAGTATAGCTCGACCAGTACAGGAAGATGTATTTGTAGCTCAACAAGCACTAAACATACAGGTTAAGCCTAAAGGCAACAGTTAAAGGAAGACTATTTTTCACTTTAGGTGCTTGGTTAACGGAAAAGTCTGTAGTGTGATAGTTGACGGAGGTAGTTATGCTAACATTGCCAGTACCTTGCTGGTGGATCGAGTAGGTTGACGTGCAAACAACACCTTATTCTCTACAAATTGCACTGATTGGATGATAACAAAAAGATTGACATCACCCAGCAG